TTACGGATGGTCTAAGTGATAGCGAATTATTCGATGATAGGTACATTGTCTGGCGGCGTGATAGGAATTATCAATCGACACAGTTGAAGTATGGAGGTGGGGTATTGTTGGCTACTCACCGTCGGTTAGCTGCAGTGGAACGCCCAGAATGGCACTCCTCTGCCGAAGACATCTGGGTTACAATCACATCGAAAAAAGGAAAACGGGGATTACATTCAAATAATATTCACATTTGCACCTTATACTTGTGTAAGGAAAATCTAGGTAATTCTTTCAATACGCAATTGCAAAACTTCTCAGAGAAGCTGTCACTCATTGTTAGTTCATGTCCGAACGACTTATTTTTAATAATGGGAGACTTTAACTTAAGTAACATCAACTGGAATGGTGAGATTGACTGTCTGCAACCTATTGGGATCCTTGGTGAATCGCAGTTATTATTTTTCGATACATTAGCCGAGTGCAACCTTAATCAGTTTAACTTGAATAGAAATATTAACAATAGAATACTCGATTATGTTTTGTGTAACAAATACGTGTGTGTATCGGCATGTAACGATCCTCTGGTACCAGAGGACCCTCACCACAAGTCGTTAGATCTGACCTTGACCTTTGCTCTAGACGATTCACTTGGAACTAATCTCAGACTCAAATATTTTTATGACAAAGCAGATTACGAGGCCATTTCTTCCTCACTAAATAAAGTGAACTGGGTGATAGACTTGAACAATGGTCCGTTGGACAATGCCGTTGATATATTTTATGCCCACTTATATAATGTTAGAGATAAACATGTCCCTCATAAAATAATAACTTCTTCCTCTTTTCCACTTTGGTATAGCTGTTCACTCAAGAAACTATTGAAAGAAAAATACAAATATTATAAAAGATATCAGGTATATGGTAACATGGTTGACCTCGATACTTTTCGACTTCTTAGAACTAGGGCTAAACGCCTGGAACAGGAGTGCTATAATAATTACATAAAATGCACGGAAGATGCGATAGTTAGGCAACCAAAAAGTTTTGGTCGTTTGTAAAATCATTCAATAAGGGCTCTAACTCACTTCCGTCTAAATTACACTACGAAGGACGGTCTGCAGATACTGGTCATGGTATTTGTGATCTTTTTTGCTTCGTATTTCCAATCCACTTTTCTTACTCCATTGTCACATAGTAATAACTTCAAATACTCACCTTTAAACTCAAATAGCGTCTCTGTTTGTATTAGTAATGTGGAAATCAGTACGGATTCAATTTTAACGTTATTAAAGGCTTTAGACTTAACCAAGGGTTCAGGGCCAGACCAGATTGTACCGATCTTTGTCGTCAAATGCGCAGAGTCAATTTCCGTACCATTATCTATTCTATTCAAGCGCTCAATCACGGAGGGACTTGTACCTCGTATTTGGAAATCCGCATTTATTTCCCCGATACATAAAGGTGGTAGTAAAAATGACATCAAGAACTACAGACCTATATCTAAATTATGCCTGTTCGCTAAAGTGTTTGAACGCATAGTGTATTCTCAAGTTTATCAATCATTATCATCATTTTTTATTCCAGAACAACATGGATTTTTAGCGATGCGTTCTACTTCGTCTAATCTTTTATTTTTCACAGATTTTCTTACAGCTGGCATGGATTCTGGGGGTCAAGTTGACGCTATTTTTACGGATTTTAGCAAAGCCTTTGATTGTATTGATCATCAAATACTGCTACAAAAGCTCCTGTTTGCTGGAATTCATGGTAATTTATACCGTTGGTTTACATCCTACATTGAAAAAAGATCGCAAGCAGTAGTAGTGAATGGATTCTCATCAAACTGGAATGATGTCCCTTCTGGAGTTCCCCAGGGATCTTTGCTGGGACCTTTACTTTTTAATATTTTTATAAACGACGTAGCCTCTTGTTTCCAACACTCTAACTTCCTTCTATACGCGGATGACATGAAGATATTTAAAAGGATTGATTCACTACGCGATACTAAGCTATTACAGGAGGATTTGGAACGTTTTGAACAATACTGCTTTCGTAATAACTTACGGCTAAACATTCAGAAATGTTACTGTATGACTTTCACTCGCAAATTTAAATTTGTGGAAACTCTATATAAACTTACTGATCAGGTGTTACACAGGGTAGATGAGATTCGTGATCTGGGTATTATGCATGATCGTAAATTAACATACGAAAGGCATATAGACCAAATCTGTAGAAAGGCTAATAAAACTATGGGCTTTGTTTTTCGGTCGAGCTCCCAATTCCATAGTATAAAGGTAATTAAGGTCCTTTATTGTTCCTTGGTGCGTAGTATTCTTGAGTATTGCTCACAGGTATGGAATCCACGTTACAATGTATACATTGATAGGATCGAGTCCATACAACGTAGATTTTTGAAATATCTACAGTACAGGCTGGGAAGCAACGATTGCAATTATGAGGCGGGGTGCCGTAGACACCATTTACTACCCTTAAAGGAACGGAGACAAATTGCCGACGTGGTTTTCCTAGTCAAAATTGCTCAAAACCGTGTAGATTCTCCGCATTTACTCTCGAAAATCAACATGAGGGTGCCTTATAAAACATCAAGGCAACCTATATGTTTGGATATTCCACAGTCCTCATCCAATTACAGACAAAACACTTTCTTTATTCGTGCCGCAAAAACTTTAAATAGTGCAGTGGCGTCTACGCAGCTTGATCTCTTTACTTCTTCAACACTTCGTTTCAAAACCACTTTGACGGACTCTTGGTTTGATGGCTCTCGAACTGATCCTTAGGTGTCATTTACCATCTTAATAAAAGTGTATCAAGTGAACAAGCTCTTTTGTAATTCAATTGCGAAAACATGTAAATGGTGTATAGTTTTAATTCAGTTATGTTGTTTTGTAATAAAACACTGTTTGTTTTCCTAATAAATAAAAATAAATAAAAATAAATAAATAAATAAATAAATAAATAAAATAAGACCTACGTTGGACCCCCCGTAAACCCTTGTATCTACGACTGCGCTCCTCATTCTTTCATCCACAATTACGAAATCTATCATGCTTCTATCATCACCTCTTTCCCATGTATACATATGAATCCTCTTATGACGAAAAAAAGTATTCGTCACAAAGAGATTCTTTTCCACACATACGGTGAGGAGGTCTTCACCATTCTCATTTATACTTTCATCACCAAACGTTCCCAATATCCTTTCATAACCAGACCTCTTCACCCCAACCCTTCCATTAAAGTCTAACATAATAATATTTTCTTTTTCCTTACATTTTGTCAACACCATCCTTGCCATGTCCCAAAACTGCTCTCGGATGTAAGTGGGCTTAGACATGTCTGGGGCGTACACCCCTAGCAAGAACAGCTTCTTTAAGCCCACTTTCATTCGTATCCATAGCAGCCTCGGGCTTACACATTCATACTCTTTCACACATTGACCCATTCTTTCTGAAACGATGAAACCGACTCCCTGGTATGCCCGTTCGGTCTCGTCTACACCAGACCAATACGCTGTATACGTGCCATGTGCAGTGGCATCCTTTTGTGGCCGTGGAAGGAAAAGGGGAGATCTCCCGCCGGGCAAGGTGTTCTGCCCGGGGAGCGGCTCACACTCCGTGTGATAGTTCGGAGATGTTCTATATATGCTGTTTATGATTCGGAATGTTGATAGCGTGATTTAGGCTTCGGTATGTTTCGCTTGCGGCGCGACAACAGCGCCGCCACATCACCCCCTGCTCAGACCGGAGGTCGATAGTGCAGTCCGATTGCCGGTGTGTCCTTTTAATGCCGGTGGGGAATGCATGCTGTGTGCGTAAGGGCAAGTGACACCGGTGCGAATAATATGCCGATGTGTAAAGCATGCCGTACTACGCACTGGCAAGTGATGCCGGTGAGAACGATGTGCCGGAGCAAGTGCCAGAAGTCTGCCTTATAAATCTGCGGTGAGTCGAGATGAAGACAAGTTGGACTGGCTTGCAGGAACTGAAGACTGCAGAAGACGATTCTCAATAGTGAATGGTAGGGGTTCTTGAGGATAATGACGAAAGCTTGAAATTGTAGTTTCCGAAGGTGTTTGGTTGCGTGTTCACATCACGTCGGTTAGTCACCACTGTGGCCGAAGTAGGAAAAGGGGAGATCTCCCACCGGGCAAGGTGTTCTGCCCGGGGGAGCGGCTCACACTCCGTGTGATAGTTCGGAGATGTTCTATATATGCTGTTTATGATTCGGAATGTTGATAGCGTGATTTAGGCTTCGGTATGTTTCGCTTGCGGCGCGATGACAGCGCCGCCACACTTTCCCTTTCGTTTCGTCTCATTTACACATAACACATCTATTCCTTTGTCATTCATTATTTCGCATACTTCATTCATCTTATCATTCATTGCGCCACATACATTCAGCGTAGCCAGACGGGCTTCCGCAATCCACTTTTCGCCCCTCCGGGAGACAGAACGTGACGGGTGGTGAACCTCGTCGCCGGTTTTTCTCCCGGAGATTCTTTGCACCCCTGCCCCATTAAAGGGGCGCCGGGAACTCGGGGTCATTTCTTTTATCTCCTGACTCATGGTGCGAACAAGGGGTGGTGGTAGATTTTACGCCGCTACCACACGGCGGGAAGCCGAGTCTATTTTTCGGCTTGGTCGCTCGTTTAGCACCACCCGGGGGACACGTGTAGGGTGGGCCTAAGGTTTGGTGGTCGAAGCCTACGGACGCGAGCGACTCATCCCCCCCAATGTAATGTAAATCTTTCAACTTATAAGTTTGTATTACGTGACTGTACCAGTTTTGAGACGAGTTTTGTTGCAAAATTATAATTGTTTTTAAATTAAATTAAATATAATTAAAATAAAAATTGATTTTCGTGGGAAAAGCCGGCTTTTCGGCTTGTACGTGTGTATGTAATGCCAATGTTTATAGAACATTTTATTTTATTGCAGGCAATCATCATCGTCATTATCATCACTTATCTTTAAAATTATATTTAATTTTTATAGCTTCCACTTACGGAGTCCACTAATGTTACTACAATGGAAGTCCAAAAAGTCATAAGTCAATCAGAAGCTTCAAACGAAACTCCAGCAGGTAATAAATATTTATATATATTATTTACTTGAGGCTCTTCAGTATAAAAAGCAAAAGGTCAAAATTACTTGATCGGTTTTTTTTTCTAGAAGAGAGCTAACAATTGAACTTTCCACCAGCACAATTGGAAAGGTTTTTTTTTTGTAAAGCGCACTCCTTACAGCCTATAAAAAGTCCACTACTGAACATAGGTGGGGAAACAATTGCCATGCTTGGTAAGCAGGTTGGTATCCAGGTTTTATTTATTTATTTTGTGATATTGTCTAAAGGGCACTGTTGCCCACTTCCTGTTTAATTTCCCTCAGTCACTTACCATTATTCCATTGAAAAATGCCATAATCGCCACACTTAGTAAGCAAGTATGCAATCACAGTACCATACTTCTCGCATCTTCGATGCTACTCGATGTTTCCGGACTAAATACTTTACGTTCTGCTTTAACTACATGGTTATACCGCCCTCTTTTGAATGAAATTGGAACTTCTGGTATGTACTATAGTCGGGTTTTACGACACACTGTACGAAATGTGGTGATGGATTTTCTTAAGCCAGCACTATATTCGATGCTACTCGATGTCGCCGGACTAAATACTTTACGTTATGCTTTAACTACATGGTTATACCGCCCTCTTTTGGATGAAATGGGAACTTCTGGACTATAGTCGGGTTTTACGACACACTGTACGAAATGTGGTGATGGATTTTCTTAAGCCAGCACTATATTCGATGCTACTCGATGTTGCCGGACTAAATAATTTACGTTCTGCTTTAACTACATGGTTATACCGCCCTCTTGGATGAAATGGGAACTTCTGGTATGTACTATAGTCGGGTTTTACGACACACTGTACGAAATGTGGTGATGGATTTTCTTAAGCCAGCACTATATTCGATGCTACTCGATGTCGCCGGACTAAATACTTTACGTTCTGCTTTAACTACATGGTTATACCGCCCTCTTGGATGAAATGGGAACTTCTGGTATGTACTATAGTCGGGTTTTACGACACACTGTACGAAATGTGGTGATGGATTTTCTTAAGCCAGCACTATATTCGATGCTACTCGATGTCGCCGGACTAAATACTTTACGTTCTGCTTTAACTACATGGTTATACCGCCCTCTTTTGGATGAAATGGGAACTTCTGGTATGTACTATAGTCGGGTTTTACGACACACTGTACGAAATGTGGTGATGGATTTTCTTACGCCAGCACCATACGGAATTTCTTCATTGACTGAAAATGTTTTTATTTCAGAAGCACCAGCAGATGCAACGCCATCTGTACCACAAACGACAGAAACCGAGGCGCCTCCAATCGAAGTCTCTGTTAACTGACCATCATTTTACAACACTGATAGCAACAATTATTAGAAATGTATGTAGACAGACTAAAGGACTAATATATTTTCATATGTGTACTGTCGGCAGTAGTAACAAGGGATTGCTCTCGCCCTGAAATTTTATAAAATACCAGAAAACCAAGTTCAATCCCCATCAGCACCAATGAAATTTTGTTAACTACAATTTTAAAGTGCTGTTCCTTATGGAGTCCGTCTGGGTATCACTTTTATATATTTCTGCCTCCAAATAGCAGTGCTTTCACTGCTGTGTTCCGATCTTAAGGGCATTTCATCTTAGTCCTCAAGGGTGACCACGCATTTGTTGCCTACTTTGCCTGAAGTTGGCTGCAGTTGCTCCTTAGCATCAGGTGGACAGTAAGTTCGCTTGACCCTTAAGTGTTATAAATATATTATATATATAAATACCACATATATTGTATATAAATACCACATATATTATATATAAATACCACATATCAGGAATATATGTGGTAATTTATATACATTTCGAAGATATGTAAATTTTACACTCTTTCAAATAAGAGTATATTCTGTACTAATCAGTGTAACATACGAATCTAACGTCTAGTGTTGTAAAATAAAATATATTATTTGCTTAAGAAAATAAATTGTTTTTATTTTTATTTTCCCGAAATGACAGATCTTTTAATATTCTAAATATGTTTAAAACTAGTGGACGAAATTCGACCGTAATTCGTTAATTTTTAGGTCAATACATTAAGAAAGTTGCATTTAAATTTCAACAGCATTTCATACATAAAATAAATGCTTTTTTGTCTAAAACGTAATTATTATATACCTTAGAGTATTTACAAGTTATGCTTATAAATGCTCTAAGCATGTATATTGTAATCTAAGTCTATAACTCTTTAAGTTATATATCCTTTTAGTTTTTAGAGTTCGTTGCCTTTGACATTACTCTAAGATATTGGCAGTGTGAATGTCACCAAATCTGAGTAATTACTTGCGTAGAAGGAAACCCTGTATTCTTATGAGGTTACGTTGTACAAAATGGGATAGCTATATTATCGTCAGTATATTCAAAGTTTATGATCCTCACCTTTCTTTTACATTTACAAGATTGTTACCGTTTTTTCATTCCATAGACACTATAATTGATGTGCAATTAGCGAAACAAACCGACGGGTGCAAAGTAAAAAGGGTCATCTACAAAACAGCTACTTTTCAGGAGAGCGCATAATAGGAAAAAATGCTCCCATTTTGTCAATTTTAAACCAAATTTATTGAAATTTCATCATTGCTTCATTATTTAATAATTTATCCACATGTATATTTCATTTCTTCTAATTATGTTTAATTTACGAGATATTGTAGTTGTCTGCATCTACATTGCGCTTAAAAATATGACAACTGTGTTAACTACCACTTGGCCGTTTCTACGTGGGAATTCAAAGATTTAGTAAAATACTTTATTAAGTCTTTGAATTCCCATGTAGATTAGTATATTTCAGTAAATACGAAAACTGTAACACTTCCTATTATTAAAATTAGTTAATGACCGTTTTACATCTTATCGGATCTTTGGTTGAGAATTCAACAGTAAAATTATAATTATAGCCTTCGTTAGAAAGAAAAACAATTAAAATTAAATCTAGAAATTTCTAGTTTTCATAATTTATAAAAAAAATAACATCAGTCATAATAATCAAGTTAGGTTTGTTTCCATGACCTAGTTAACACAATAATAAAAATAAATCCTTTAAAGTACGTTCTATTCGTACTTTTTTTTTATAAAAATAGGTATATCACTTATGATAAAAGTAAGTAGAAAATTAAATTCTAAACAATAATTAAACTCTATATCAATACTTAAAAAATTACGAAAGATTTTTTTTAATTATTTTAAAACCAATTTAAAAATTATTTAGTCTCATTACCGTCAGTACAGGAACTATGTTTCAAATTTTTATAAAAGTTATGATATCTAGGAGGTATAAGATTTTGCTGGCAGAGGCTTATTAAGTCTTTGTACATGGCACTTGTAATCATGATGGGTTCATTATAACATTTTTTGTGATCATTAAAGCCACAGTGGGAACGACTAGTTACTTTTCGCGCCAATTCAATTCGCTTGAGTTCTTCGTCATTTAGATCATATTTATAAAATATTGTGTAAGGATTCTCTGCTTTAACGACTATTTCTCGAACTTGATTTCACTTAACATTCTCATTGTCGGTATTTTTTGTCAATTTAAAATCATATAAACATATTTTGAAATCCAAAATTTAGTCTTGTGTTATTTCTATAAACTCATAAGCATCGCCGGGCGTTTTACACCATCGAAAGAGTGTATACCATTCTTCAGGACAAAAAATGAATTTTCTCTTCGACGATTTCTCAATTAATGCGTGGACACTATCGCCTTCTTGCTGGGTGTGACCCTTCTCCAAAAATCTGTGATGAATATCAATGCTATACTTTTGAGAGCAGTATACATACATCAGAAACACAATACGGTTCCTGTTCTGACCGCCACAGTTATCGGACCACAAGCGGATATCTTTGATGCCTCTATTAGTTGACTGTTGTATAAAATTATAAAGGCAACTAGCCACTTCGTTCGAACCCCGCTTAGCTATAGTTTCAGGCCACATATAACATATTCCTTTTTTAAGTCCCATATCAAACAGTAAAATTAAAGACAGAAAGTTTACGCTTATAATAAAATGAACTGGTTTCTCCGTGTCGTGTCGACAAAATTTTTTGAAAATCAAAGGTAGCCGAAGTTACAGTTTCAGGATTAGAAGTAGCTTCATTTTTGTCTTGTTTCTTCAAAGGTCTCGCTATATTTTTATCTTGTATATGTTTATTGTACTGATCTTGTGCTCTGGTTTGTGAAGGAAGGCAATTTTTAAATGCTAAACACACGTCGCACTAGTCTTTTTTAGGAATATAAAAGGCTATGTTCATTTCCTTGTTAACTATGTCTCGGTACTGGCGCGCTGTGTGTACCCTCTCCACAATACTATTTTCCTCTGCCCAAGTCTGGTACAACTTAAACATCGTGGAGAAATTTAAATCAGCCAAGTAAACTTTGTTTGTGTCTTTTCTTGTGTAATGTGACTCCACTGGTTGAAACGAGTTTACGTGATCACACACACCTTTTATTATGGCGGCTGTACAAACCTTATTTTTATTGTTATGACGACCTCTGAAGTCTTTTTCACAGTTACTATTACTTTTATCATATTTATCAAGAGCACTCTGTATAAACTGATTACTTACCGATAGCGTATTCTTAAACATTGTTTTGCATACTTTTACAGTTCTAGGGCTGGTTTCTTTTAAATTTATTGGAAGTGTATAGTTTACACTGTGTTGGCGTTTAGAATCATTCTCTGTAGTAATTCTTCGTTTCATACAACGTTTTGTATATTTACCTATAAAAACCCATTGCTTTTCGTGATCACAGAGATCCCAAAAACGATCAAAGATAAGTTTTCTATCTTCGTGAGATATTTTTGCGCTACAGTTAAACTTGCAAATAACACATGCCGGCTTAAGATGTTTCGCAGGTTGCAATTTTCCATTTCTGGACTGATGTTGTTTACCTGAATTTAATAGTAATTTACGTCTTGTATCAATCCACTTGTCTTTATTTCTCAATCGCCTTTTCTTTGATCTATCAATATTGAACTGACGTTTTTTTTCTACCGTTTAACGACGAAGGTGTAGAACATTCACTTGATGCCTCCACTGCCGAAGAAGCATCACTAGTGTTGCTTATAGAAGATTGACAGCTTGAAATTAGTGACATACTCGATGGCCTGCCTAAGTTTATTAAACAGATATTTTGATCTAATTCTGATAATGGACGCGGCGGACTTGAAGTAAATGAGTTGTAATCTGAGGGCGTTGGTGTATCCGATAATTTACTCGGAGAATCTCTGTTATCAATATAAACATTTTATGAATTAATTTGTATTTCAGATTGAGAGTGCACTGGTGTGACCGACCTAGAGTACACAGAACATGGGGACTTATCGTGCGAAGTTAACTGATACTCATTTGTCTTCATCGCTGACACATCAAGGTCTTCTATAAGATGTTCAATAACTTCATCGGCCAACACAGCATTTTTGTCGAAAAATCCATCGCTTATGTTCTGTAAGCTTTCATCTTCTTTAAAAGGTCGTTTCGGAATTTCGGAACATGAAACAATAGTAAAAAATAACAGTAAGAAAATATAATTTAATTATAAGTCAATTAATATATATATAGCTAACACTAAGAATTAACATAGGTAGGTACTAATAAACATAACAAACAATACTAATTTGCAAAAGTAAATTGAGACATCTACATCACAATCGCAACGTAGAAAAAGCTATATGGCAGATAGCCGTTTATGCGTTGTTTCGTAAAAAAAATATCAATGATAACCTATTTTCATAATTACAAAAACTTCAAAATAATAATAACATTAAACTTGTATTATAAAAAATACGTACCAGAACTAGTTTCACGGTTGTTATCGATAAGTTGTAAAAGATCTTCACGGTTCATAATATCGCATTGTCGTCCCGTTTTGCCCAAATTCACCAATAATTTACGTCTTTCCATGTCTTTTGTGTTGAACTCAAACTGTTTACTAATATGATAACACTTTTACACACACTATAACACTTAACAAACCAAAACAAACAAATATTCGTGCCGGCCGGCGAAGCATATGTCATCTGACTGATGACGCAATATGACTGACCGCTGGCCCCCGCGCGTCCCGCGTATAAACGGTCAGCGGTAGTTGTCCGCATCTACATCGTGCAATTTCACAAAACAGGCGTAGTTGTCTTCTTTTACGTGACAAAAGTACCAAAAATAAGGTGATATTTATATTTTTGTTTTTGCTATGTTGTAGAACATGATATTTTAAGTTGTTTTTACAAAAAACCAAAAATCTCAAAATTGCAGTTAACTTTTTTACTTTGCACCCGTCGAAACGTTATCGA